GTGGTGGCACTTCTCCGACAAGAGCACTCAACACGACTCAGTTGTATACATCGGTGCCCATTGTCAAAAATTTTAATAATATAGTTCTATTTTTCACAGAATGGAGTTGCACCTTAAAAGTTTTTATGGGAATCTGTGTCACAAAAAGAAAACCGTTGATAATAAGTTCAGTTTGCTAAATGAAGGCATTGATTCATCCAGCTCGTTTTACAGCCCACCTTTCAATTGACACCGCCCTATGTGGAGAGCAAGTCGTCTGTTTCTTGCGTAGACATTACGGTGACGTCAGAAAGGTGACGAGCTCTCATTGGCTTTGAGCGGAAGATATAGTGGGTAGACCACAATGCTAGACAGCATGAGGTCTACCCACTATTTTTTTTTTGTTCGATCGGTCAATAAGAGCTCGGCCTTCTGACATCACTGCAACCCCTGTGTAAAAAAAGCAGACAAACTTACGCTCCGCATAGGATTACGGATACTCAAGAGTGCTTTCCGTAATATAATTTACGGAAAGCCTACTCTGAGTGCCCTTTTACGGACAACTTTTAAACACTTTTACGGATATTAGAGCGATTTCCGTAATAGGTTTTACGGAATGCATATTCCAGTCCGTTGTTTTACGGACAGCTCTTGAATAGCGTTACGGATAGTAAAGCACTTTCCGTAATCTGTTTTGCGGAACGTCCTTTAATTTGCGGATAGTGTATGCGTTTAAAAGGATTTTTCCGTTATTAGGATTACGGATGACCTTTCCGGCAGCATAGGTGCCAGAGAATTTCTCCGTAAAAGAGGGCAAATTTTTTTACAGTGCAGGTAAAGTCCCTTGATACTTCTTTTTACGAATAACAACAACTAATATGAATGACCAAACCCATTCTGCTGGAATAAAATGGCGTTATTCAGTTCAGCCTTTTGCCGTGCGCCGGCATTCGCTTCCTAAATCCTGCACAATCAAGCAGTCTGCACTTCCAAGAATGTCGCTACTTGAGGAAGAACGAGAAGCTCCCTCTAGGAACTTTTAGTTCCTTGACAAAATTTCCGTTTCGCGTTTTTCTTACAACAAGTACCGCCACCCATTGTTCTGTGAATGCGCAAGACACGTGCCTCGAGCGGGTGCTCCGCCTTCATTCGCTTTGTATGGCCTCTTATTTCAGTACTGTGCCGCCATTTGCTTTCAAGGGGCGCCCGAGATATGCGCCTCGTGCATTGGAGCGTTCGACGATATATTTTCAGACAAATACATCCCCCCCCCCCCCCCCCCCCCCCAAGAGGCTTTACTCTCAATACAAAGGTGAAAACTCTTAGACTGCGCGCGTCCAGCCGTTCTACACCATGCAAAAGCTGTCTGCTCCAAGGCCATTGGATTTCCGCCTAGTAAGGTGTATTCTCTTGTAAAGTAGTTGGTTATACACTCTGTGCGACGCGACCGGCGCGCCGCTGCGCGGCCGTTACCGAAGGTAGGCAGTGAGAACCCCAGAGAAAACGAAACCGAAACCACGCCACGTACGTTGGTACGCATTGAAGTCGGAGCGGTGCGGTTGTGCCAAGTTCACAGCATGAAGTGCTGCCTGTGCTGCGTCATTAAGTGCTTCAATAGTTATGCGTCGTATCTCGTGGAGACAAAGTTTCACAGTTTTTCACCTCGCCGATGTTTTGTGGGACAGCGACAACGATGGACCCGTGCCGTACGACGCGAGAAATTTGGTCTCCCGATCATGTCTGCCACTGTGTCGGCACGGCTGATCTACACTGCCGCTTTGCGCTCTGCGTTTGTTTTCGTACCAGTAACGCCTACATGTGTCAGCGCCGATGGGACGAACTGAAATGCCATCCCACACTCGCGGGTATGCAGTGCAAATTTCGTTGGCGGAATGCCCTCCAAAGAAGTTTCGTCCCCATCGTACGTGTCGATGATATTTCCGGACAAGTATGGCACGCAATTTGTACTTCACGAAGAAAGATTCGAACGGAAAAAAGGTGACAAATATAAATCTAAAGAAAACAACAATGAAACTCGGAATCACTGGAGAATCGACGTTTGAGTATGGAAGTTTATGTGGTGTGCTTTCTTTCTTGATCAGCCTCCTTTTGGATGTGAAAACGCTGACACCCCGAGTTCTGTAGACAACAATTTTTTTTCTCGGCTTTAGAGCCACCTATCTCAAAGTGGTTCGAACTGGAAGTACCGTCCACTGGTCGCTTCCTACCTGTAAAGTGTGCACCTCCCACGATGAGTGGTACTATCTGACAGCCTTTGACGCTCAAAGCCAGGTCCCATTTAGTTACGCCGCCCAAACTGAATTTCCACATGGTTTCGCTATGCCAACTCTTTTTGTCATAATAAGTGTTGTGCCAAGTGACGGTCATGTCAAAGTACCTGTGCGCCGAAAATGAGCTCCTCGCACAACCGGTTATTACACAACAGCTGGCCGCAAAAGCCCTTATCGGCCAAACCGTGTTTTGGCCGACAACTTTGTTTTCTGGGCTGTGCAACCACCTTTCGTAAAGTTGTTTCAATTGGAAATACAGTCTACTAGTCCCTTCCTACCTCTAGAGTCTCCACCTCCCCCGACCAGTGGTATTCTCTTGACAGCCGCCTTTTCATGGTCAAAACCGGTTCCCATTGAGTTACGCCGCCCGAACCAAATTTTCACCTGGTTTCCCTATGCCACCCTTTTTTTTTTTTTGGATAATAAGTGCTGTGTCATGTTACTGTCAAGTTCAAGCACCTGTGTGCCCAAATCTTCACTTTGCACAGCCCGCTATAACACAACATTTTGGGTCCAATATTGGATATCCCGTAGAGCTTTATTTCTCTATTCGTTAGAAACCTAACTTTCACACCTGCTGTCTTAAAGAAACTTGGCACTCTCCGTGCACAAACTTAGTGAGCATCTCACTCGCCTCACACACATCATCGTTCCAGCAGTCCTACGTTTACAGCGACGAGCGAAATAAATTTCCCACTCACAGCAATTAAGGTGGCGGCCGTCTTGTTTTTCAGAAAATTGCTCCAACTCCTTTTTCGGCCGCAACTAGAGAAATTACCCCTAATGACGACTCAAACTCAATATACAAGAAGTAGAGAACAGCTAAATGCCCTTCTGCCCCAGCACTCATTCAACGTCACCATCAACTTATCGGCTCAAAAAGCAAAAGTTTCGTCCGTGCGCGCTTCCGCCGCCACAGTTTGGCATGCAAAAAGGCGCCGTAGGCTGCTGAACGCGCCTCACAGTCGAACGCCAGCTCCTCCGCTAGCGGTGCTGCGCGCGTTTTTCAACGCGCCCCCTATAGTTCCCGCACGGAGTGTATAGCAGGAACTACCCAGGTAGCACAAGACGTCGAGGTGACTTCGAAATAAGATCCTATAGACGTTCGGCGACGTCGAAGTCCTTAAGCTTTTTATCGACGTCATTGGTACGTTCAGATGAGAGGTTCCGACAACGTCAAACACGCGACGTAGTGACAACGTCATAAGCTTCACCTCGACGTCTTCAACAGTAATCAACGTCAGTTCTACGTTTTCTCCGGGACGTTATTTGAACGTCGAGCACGAGACGTCCTAACAATGTCCTGAGCAACACCTTGACGTCGTCCACATTATTCGACATCAGTTCTACGTTTTTTCCGGGAAGTTCCTCAAACGTTGAGTGCGAGACGTTCCAATAATGTCTGAGCAACACCTTGACGTCATTGGCATTAATATACATCAGTTCTACGTTTTCTCCGGGAAGTTATTTGAACGTGGAGAACAAGACGTGCCAGCAATGTTCTGAACAACACCTTGACGTCATCAACATTATTCGACGTCAGTTCTACGTTTTTTTTTTTTCGGGAGGTTCTTTAAACGTTCAGCGCGAGGCGTCCCAACAATGTCTGGGCGAACACTTTGATCACCCTCAACAAGCGCCTTATAGAGCCCAAGGTGCTCTCATATCAATTTTAAAATTTCTCGTCAATATCAGCATTTTTTATATACTGCGCATGCAATCCACCTTTCAAGCTGGCTAAGCTGCAAAAATCTCTTACAGTATTATTATTTTCGTGAATGTTGTTTTAGCAGGAATTGCTTAAAAAGCCGAAAATTCACAACCAAACCAGGATTTAGCTTGGAGTCAGCGGGGCTCTTTATAGCATTTTTATCGTTTGTAACTTATTATCAGCCTCTTTGAAGCTCTATAGTGTAATGTAAGAGATTTCTGCAGCGCTGTCATTGACGAGAAATTATAGAAGTGATATGACAGGTCCTTGGGCACTATATAGGACACTTCTTCAGGGTGACTCTAAATTACACCCAAAACTGTGTAACCATGGAAGTGGTCGAAATTACCGATCACTAGGGGGCTGAAGGAACACCGTTCCCATGATTCCTGGATTGCGGGCCGGGGTGCTTGGGGGATTGAACAAATGGTCTATTCCGTCCGAATATATACATGCTTTCGCGAACATACCTTCGAGCAACGAAGCCAGATCCGGTTGACTCCATTGTTCCACGGTGACCCAGGTGGAGACCGTTATCAATTGACATCCCGTTCAGTCGAGTTTTATGGTCGTTAAATGAAACGTTATTTCAACGTTTACATGACGTTATCACAGACGTGCGGTCGACATTTTATGTCGTTAAATGGGACGTTATGTTTTCGTTAACATGACGTTCTCAATTGACATCCCGTTCAGTTTAGACGTATACTCGACGTTTTATGGTCGTTTAATGGGACATTGCGTCAACGTTGATATAACGTTATCACTTGACTTCCTGTACAATTCAAACGTGCACTCGACGTTCTAAGGTCGTTAAGTGGGGCGTTATGTCGACGTAAAATCCACCGATTTTTGCTGACATTAGCCTTTCCATTTTACGTCGAAGGGACCTGACGTTCGGACTTTCGACGTTCTTTCGACATGTGGCTCCTGACGTCATCACGTTCTTTCGACGTCTTTTCAACGTGTCTGTGCTGCCTGGGTACGTGGCACCACTGTTTGCCTATCTGTGTACTTGCCATGCTCTGGTGGTCGTCGTTGTCTGGGTGGATGAAAAGAGTGTCCTCCCCATGACAGTTCTTGGCCTTCTTGATGGCGTCGAGCCGCGCCAGGCCGTCTTCGTTGCAGGTTGCCTTGTGCGTTGGTTGTGGGGGGTAAGGCAAAGACAAACATCAAGATCCCTTTTTTATCTTGTCCACTACAAATGAGTAACGCACAGCAAGTAATATACACCTAGTTCTGAAAGTTCACTCACAACACGAAACTTTATACTGCTCCGGAGGATATAATGCTGCGAGGTGGAGCAGCTAGCGTTCCTTGTACTGATTCTTCAGGGGAACGAATTGGATGCTACGTGCCCTGATCTCCACTAGGGGCTGGGCTGGATGGCGCTAGAGCAATCAGGTATTTACCAGGTATGAAGCCACCGGAAGTACGCGGCTTGTCCCAGAAGGGAGCGTTTTACAGGCGCTTTCTTGCATTTTAAATGTGTTTTATTAATCTCCCTGGACATTAAATCTAGAGAATGAGGCATTTAGACGTGGGATATGCCCACTTGATCAACTAAATAACTGAAGACTGTCACACACAAAAAAAAAACAACACGAAAAACGGTATTTTAGAAGATTTATCAGGTCTACATAATGCTGTTATTGCGCAACAAGCAAGCTCTCGTGAAATAAAAAGAAGAAAACTCCAGCGCCTTGAACATTATTTTGATCAAGGCTTGAAAGAGTTGCAAATTTCCAACTCTTTCCAGCATTAATTAAAATGTCCAAGGCGAAGGAGTTTTTTTTTCTTTTTATTTCACGAGAGCTTGTTTTTTGCGTAATAATGTAGACCCGATACGTCTTCTGGAATGCCGTTTTTTTTATCTGTGACAGTTCTGAGATATCTGCTTGATCAAGTGGGCATGTCCTAGAGCACTGCACGGGCCGGAATTCCTAGGCCCGGCCCGACCCGGCCCGGTAAAGGGACGACCCGGGCCCGGCCCGAGCCCGATAGAACGTTTAATTTCTAGGCCCGGCCCGGTGCGGAAGAGGCACCGCCCGGGCCCGGCCCGGGTCCGGCAGAATCTTTAGACAGAAGCTTGAGCCCGGCCCCAACCCAACAAATTTTTTTAAATATAAGCCTGAGCCCGGCCCGAGCCGGGCTCCAGGCCTGACTGAGCCCTAAAAAGTTTCCAGCCCAAGAAATACGTGAGCCCGAAAAATTTGCTGTCGTTAACCTAAAAACTGTCTAAGCATTAAGCGAGCATATTTTATTTAAATTTCTTTAAAACTTGGACCGAGTTTTCTTGACACGATAAATATCCCGACTTAGACGATGCATTTTTGAGAATATGAGTGAAATATGCACTTCATAAGTGGTTTTAAGAAAAAGAAGCGGGCAATATTTTGTTTGTGTATTTCTTGAAGAGATATATTGGACTTTTCATTGTTCAATTCGTTCACAGATAAACTTCCTCATTGCATGTTTTCGTGAAGAAACAATCAGAATCACTCTAGTGCATCTTCAAAAGGCTGTATAAGCATAAAATTATCTATGGTAGTTAGCTTATCTTTGGTGGCATAGTAAGGCTCCCTGCACAAAATGCAAAGCCAAGCTCGCGTTTTTTTTTTCTTAAAGCAGAAGAAAAAGACATTCATGGCTGTATCCTGCGACTAGAGTGCCCTTGTTTACTTGACCGCACTTTACCATTATGCTGGAGGAATCCATACGTTTTTTTTTTATCCACCTGAAAGCTTTCCAAATAAAAGACGTCTTTTTTTTTTTTTTTTTTTTTTTTTTTTTGAGCGGCGTTGTTTGTCTTTATCGAACCTAAAGTATCAATAAGCACACTTTTTGTTACCAACAATTTAGAATTTGCGGCACACGACTGCTCAGCCATGGTCCGGGTCGGCACGTCCCGAAAAATATTTTGTTCATGACCGAGCCCGGCCCGCGGGCCGGGCCGGGCTTAGGTTTTTGGGCTAGCCCGGGCCCGTGCAGTGCTCTAGCATGTCCCAGGTTTGATAACTTATTCTCTAGATTTAATACCCACGGAAATTAATGACACCTACTTAAAATACAAGAAAGCTGAGACTAAAAGCGCGAGGACGCTGGCTTACGCGCAGCGCTTCGGTTGCACGACCCTGCGCGTTCGCACTTGTGTTAGCGAGGGCAGAAAGCTCGCGGGACGGACATCGAAATTCCGGTTGCTTCACTCGTGCCCGGCTTGGAGAGAGGGTTATATTCGCCATCTAGCCTTCCATAGCTGACGTCACAACAGCGACCATTGAGGTGGCCTTGCTGCTTAGCGCGTACCTTCTGCAGACTTCATCTTGAGCCACTAAATTTGTTTTTCTCTGCAAGAACAAGTAGGAATGACTTGCCAAAAGCCAACGTTCTAATTTTCTCGCGCTCTCCAGTTGGATGACGTCATATGTTGTATGACTTGCAAGCCGAGCAGACCGTTTAATAAACATGATAGCTGCGTTCGATTTACTTACACCTTCTGCACCGGTGCAGAAAAGTGTGGGGCAATGTACTTCCGGTAAGTGTATTGAGATACGACCGGAAGTATACCGCCCTGCACTTTCTTGCACCATGCCGGAGGTGTAAATAAATCGAACGCGGCTAGTGTTTTGCTCGCTCCTTTTTTGGCTTGCTGGCGTGAGCTTTTCCCTGTACGATTCGTCTCCCACCCTCAAACTTCTTGTGAACTGTCAGCAACCAGCTTCCCCCCCCCCCCCCCCCCCCCCAAAAAAAAAAGAAAAGGCTATGGGGTCCAATCACACATCACAACATTCCACGTCACGTTTTCAGAATTGCGAATAAAGTCTCTCAGCACGTTCGAAAAAAAAAAAAAAAAAAAAAAGGATATGCATTTTGTGTGATTTGTTTAGGTCACCGTGGTTTAGGTCGATTAGGATTTCGCCAGAGCTCCGGAGCACGAGAGCGGGCACGTGCCCGCTCTCGTGACTTTCGCGAGAATGCATGAAACCGTAACAACAACCATAGTGTTAGTTTTCTATTTACGAACTACTCTTTGTGCAAATACGAACTGCTAGAGCGTCATCTTTCACGACGCAGTTTGCGCTCTGTGCGCATTTATTTTCGCGATTACTTCCCTCGTAAATGCTCTACCTATACACCAACATCTATTAATCGCGCATTAAAAAAAAAGAAAAAAAGAAAAACTACTGGACGCGTTTTTCTTTAAAATTCTTAACAAATGGCCATTGTCGAAACACTGTCGCATTTTGACCCACAAAAAGTAATTTTCTTAGCCATGCTTCAACCACACAGACGTGAAGGCAAGGACATGACCTTGGCTACCGCGCGCGTTTATTAAAGGAAGAAAAACACGTTTATATTCGTACCAACCACAGGTGTTTTCCGGATCTTTCGCCGGTCCGCCTGAATTTTCCTACTAAAAAACTACGCATCGCACAGAAAGCAATGGGGTCCATATCACATGAGCGAATAACGTTTTAGCGAACACCGGTCATTTGACCGAATCGACTATTTATGGAATGGGAGGAGCGTGCTAACCCAAACAGTTCCCCCGTCCACACCGCTTCGCGGCGACAGCCTGCCGCGGCTCATTACAAGAATGTCAACCCACCTGACCCGCTCGTATACACGTCGCTTCGCAGGGGCCAAATTCCCTAAAGCGTCTTTCGATGAAAATTCGGGGGCGCAACTTCGTTTGCTGAAACGCAGCTCAACCGACTGAGTGTCACCCCAGAAAGCTTATTGATACCGTGTTAGCGCCGATGAGGTTTTTTTTTGGGGGGGTGTAGTTCCTGGCAACTTAAGAAACGTTTTCAGTGACAAAAGGCGCGTAGTGTTTTGGGGTAATTAAGGGCTTAATTAGTTTCACATAGTTGACATCTTTTGACGGGTCAAAATAAACGCGGCGTTCCAATTAGGGAGTCGCTGGGCGTCACCAGAAACCACAAATTTAGAAATGCTTGGCGCGCTTGGGAACTGCAAGGCGAAAGGAGGGCGGATCTACAAAAAACTCCCTAAAAGGGAGTTTTCCTAGACGGTTTTCGCCGTCCTGCAAGGCTCTCCACAACTCGCTACGATACCGGGAACTCTACAGTATAGGTAATCGGCGCGCAGGCGCAGTAGTAGTTTCTTCGTTGCAGGGGGCTTAGAGGAGGTGGAAACACGGTTTACAAAAACCTCCTATATCTCCGCTCTCGCGTAGCGTCAAAGCAACTGCGTCACCTGCAGGGTGCTGACAACTCCGCCGGCACTGCCGCGGTATGTTTATATATTTTTTTACTTCTTATTCCTTTGGTGGTCAGCCGTAAATCATGGCGTCTGCTGTCGGCGCCAACGGTGCTGTTTATCGATCCTTAATGCTAGTTGCACACGTTTGCAAAACAGCTTTTATTGCATCGATAAAAGGCAAGGGTCACAGTGTGCTGGCTGCAGGATGAGGACGAAATGACACACCGACCGCAAACGCCTTAATTTATAAGTTACACACACAAAAAAAAAAAAGGTAAACATATTGCGGGGGTGCCCACTTCACGGGGGATTTCGTCAGCGTGACGCTACGTGAGGGCGGAATTACTGACGTCACTGTCGCTCTTTTGGAAATCGGGTTCGGTTTGACGAAGCCAGATGCTCGCATGTTGCGGTTGGAGCGTATACATACTGGAGGTCGGACATCAATTTCGTAAATACGATATGCCCTCTAAAGTCAATATTTAAAATGTTAATTACAATATATCCGATAATTAGCCGCCTAATTGCACAAACAACCTTGTTTCGGTCGCCAAGTCGGCTAATCTAATCCAAAAAGTGAGAGTCCTATGATGGAACTCTTATTTTGTTTAAAAATTTGGTGCAGCTAAAAAAAAAACAAAAAAAAACACCATACGACGAGAAAGTGCTTCGAAATTCACTGTGCGGAATCGGTCTAGGCGGTGACAGTTAACGTACAAAGGCGACGAACGCCGTGCCGAAGAAGCATATATCCGTCGGTGATTTTTTTAAACAGTAGATTTCGTAGCAAGGATACGCGCCCTTACGGGTAATGGGACTAATCCAGCAGCGTGGAAATCCCTAGTCACTAATCCTTTTCTGTTTATGATTGGTTCAGCGATGGTATAACGTATACGTGACGAAAACCTTGATGGTTCGCTTTCGGCGCTGTCTAATGAAGTCCGCTTATCGCTGCAGCAGCGCGAAAGTGTAAAGAGCGAATGCTGGCCCCGCGTTTCCTCCGAGCGTGGACGGTATAGCACGACTCGTTCTCTGTAAACTCACGTGGTAAGTGACGATTCCGAGGAGGTCGTGCACTTGACTCGGCGTGAGCATCTTGCTCGGTTCGTCCAGGTACCACGCCCGCATGGCGACGATTCAGCCGATCTTGCTGTCGGTCGGTATCGCGTCCTCCGACGAATGCCCGAGTACGGCCCTTCCGCGATGGGAGCGGCTTTGGAGCCCGTCCACGGCACACGGTCGGTTATCTACGCCGTTTCGTCGAGGACGGGAGAGGAGAGAGCCGGTCGTCCCTGACTGCCCCGGGCGGGCCGCGAGTTTGGCGCGAGACGTTAGCGCCAATTTGCGAGCAAAGGCTCCGTACGACGAGCCGGAGCGGGAATGAATTTCGGTCCACTTCCGCCGGGCGCTTTTTCGTGCTGCCGATGCATGGGAGATAGAGAGAGAGAGAATAAACTTTATTTTTTCACGCCTCGTCCGTGGGGTGTTTACGATTCCTCTTCTGGGAGGGTGGTTATGATGTGCTGGAGGAGAGTACCAATTGGTACACGGTGACGAGGTGTTTGGGTGGACTGAGCCATTCTTCGTAGGATGAGGGCCGTAGAGTATAGGTATATGCAAGATAAAGCCGTGCGTTTTGAAGATTGGGCATTGGGACATGCCCAGAGTGTATGGTGGTTATCTGGGTATCCACAGTGTTTGCAGGTTGGGTGTCCAGCACTTCTAGATATGTAATGGACGAAGTTGTCTGTAAGCAGCGATAATGTCTGCGCTCTTCTTTGGAGTACTTCTTTCTTCCTTCCAAGCGAGCGTTGAGGAGGGGTCAGAGTTTTGACATTTTCCTTCAGATGCTTAAGTGTGAATTTCCTTGTAGTTCTGCAGATGGCTCTCTCGGTGCGTGGGTTGTACTCAGGCGGCCATATAAGGAGTATTCACGGGGCGCCATATTTGTGGGTACTGTCTGAAGCGCTTGCTCAGAACGAGCCCACATTAATAGGCTGCTAAGACTGGCGATATTGAGGGTGCGGAATGCACGTTACAAAAGAACTGTGGAAGCTCGCCATCAGCACGCGCTCAGCAGTCGCGCACACAGCTATGGCCGCCAGTGAATACTTCCTATAGCAGGGGTCCCGGCAGAGGTTCTCGGGTGAGGAGGTGGGCCCCCTTGTTCCCCTCGAGGCCATCATGGCCTGGTGTCCATTGAATCGTGACTGTTATGTTTCTTCGCAGATGCAGGTAATCCTGGATATGTTGTCTAATGTGTGAAGGCAACGTGTAGTCTCGAAAAGCCCTGCATGCAGCTTGGCTATCCGTCCGGATGAGGATGTCTTCCGTAGGGTGGTAAATTAGTGTTATTACCTCGCCGATAGCAGTTATCTCTGCTTCCTCTGGCGTGGGGATTTCTACATGCTTGTTCTGCCAGTTGAGGTAGTGACTGGCGACTGATTTGGTGCTCATTTCTTCTTTGAGTGAAGCGTCTGTGCAGCATAGTGTGACGTGGGCCGGGATTGGAGAGGTGCCGAGTTTATTGATCCTTGCCGCCCTCCTCGTGGCTTATCTTTCGTTGTCCATGTTCCGAGGGATAGGTGGAACCGTTAGTCTCGGGATGTATTCCCACGGTGGAGGGATGTCGGGGATCTCTTCAGGGGGAGCTGTAAGGTAACCCTGCTGCCTGAGGATCTGTCTTCCCTGCCTCGAGGTTAGTAGGCGGTCATGTTGGGATTGCCGTTGTATGTCGCACCGCTCCTCCAGCGTGTTAAAGGTACCGGTTGCTTCGATACGGTAATTCGCTGAGATTCGTGGGATACCCAGTGCAAGCCTGTGGCCTTTGCGAAGAACCGTTTCAAGTTTGGATTTTTGAGTCTTGGTGAGTCGGATGTGTGTTAGTTGGTATAGAGTCCTCGAGTATACGAGGGCCTCAAGTATACGTCTCAGATGTTCTTCTCGTACGCCTTTGTTCTTGCGTGTGATTCTCTTTATCATGTGATGTATTTGTTGTATTTGTACGGTGAGTTTCGTTAGCCAAACGTTCCATTTTCCATTGTCCTGAAGCCAGAAGCCCAGGATGCGTATGACGTATTTGCGTTTTATCTGTGTGTTTGCAATGTTGAGATTTATGTGGTTGTTAGTTTCTTCGCCGCCTTCCTGCCGGTCGCGTTAGTTACAACTATGTATTCGGATTTTTCTTGGGAGCAGGTTAGCCCAAGCTCGTATAGTGTATTTATGTACAGCGTCAATACCTTTTTGAATTGTTTCCTGTTGTTCCCCTGGGGATCCATTGTTACACCATAGTGTAATATCGTCTACGTACACGGCGTGTTTAAGGTTGGGTATGTTTTGAAGTTTGTTCGGGAGGTCTTTTATGGCTATATTAAAAAGAGTGGGCGACAATATCGCTCCCTGTGGGACTCCTTTCTCAGCTCTATGTTGTGGAGAAGTATGGTAGTCGACTCTGGACCCCAACGAATCTGTCTCGTAAAAAATATTGGACGTATCTGATTAGTATATTTCCGAAGCCTAGGTCTTTTTGTCTTTTGAATTATTGGTTCGTGAGCGACGTTATCAAAGGCCCATTTGATGTCAAGTCCAACGATCGTCCGCATCTGGGTGGTGCTTTCAGGGTCATATATGTCCTCTTTATGCGGAGCATGACTTCCTGCGTGCTGACGTGAGATTTGAATCCTACCATCGTGTGAGGCAAACGTTCGTTCTTATCGATGTGCCAAAACAGTCTTTCAAGGACCAACTTTTCCATAACTTTGCCTATATATGATGTTAATGAGATAGGCCTGAGTTTGCAGATTTGGTCGGGCGATTTACCTGGTTTGGGGATTGGTACAATTGTGGCTATTTTCCATTCTTGGGGAATTTTGCCATTTTCCCAAGCGGCGTTGATGATTTTTAGCAAATGTTCAAGTTGCTCGTCCGGAAGGTTACGGAGATTTCGGTAGTTTGCACCGTCTTCTCCTGCAGCTGGCAGAGTTTCGTTTGATGTTGGCGAGGGTTCTGGAGAGTTCGTTCAATGTAAAAGGCGAGCCTATTCTTTCTGCTTCGTCCGTTTCCATAGGTGTTTGGTCTACTGTATATGTAGCGTCTTTAGATGCAATTCTAGGATATAACTGGGTGGTCAGTGCTGTCCCTATTTGTTCTTTAGTGTTTCCCGTTCGGAGCTGTATCTTGGTTAGAGAGTGCTTGGGTTTAGCCTGTCCGAGGAGCGTGCGGAGTATGTTCCATGCCTTTGCTGTGTGGAATTGTTTGTTTAGATTATCGCAAGTATCGAGCCATTTATTCGTCACGAGTGTCTGTGCGTATAGTCCTGTGCTTCTTCGGTTATGTCTTGTATGGCTTTCTTGAACTAACGGTTTTTATTGTTCTTGCGCCATTTTTAAACGATTTTATGCCTTTTATCCCATAGCGCCACGAGGTGTGTGTCAATCTGAGGGAAGTCTTCAGATCTGCATATTTTTTTGTGTGTTTTTGCCTCGGGTGTGTGAAGAGTTTGAATCCATGAACTAAGGTTTTCCGGATAGTCCGTTTGTTCTGCGAGTTCCTGTCTAAAGGAGTCCCAGTTTTTAATATTGGTAGTGGGTCCGCTTTTTGTGCGTCCCTTTCCAATCTGGACTGTGACTTCAAGAATAAAGTGGCCACTTCCAAGATTTTCTTTCGTGTTTGTCCAGGAGACATTAAGTTGGCCTTTGTAAAATGTCAGGTCGGGGGAGGTATCTTTCTCGATGCTGTTGCCTTCCCGTCTTGAGCTTGTCGTGTCGTTGAGGAGTGTCAGTGCTTGTTCGGAGGCTATGATGGTGTCCAGTTTCCTTCCGTTTGGATTGTTAGTTGTGTAACCCCATGATTGATGTTGACTGTTAAAGTCTCCGAGTAGCAATGTTGCAGCTCTAGTGTTGTCTTTCATTAGCTTTCTTAATAGCTTGGTCTCTGCCTTGTGCTGCCGTGGCGTCCAGTAGCAGTTAATAATAAGGATCTCTGAGGTGGAGTCTGGTGAGTCCGGATGCTTAATCTTAACCGCGACTGTTTCTTGTGTTGTAGTGTTGAGAGGGGTAGTGTCCAGTTGGATGGAAGCACGACTCTTGGATACTAGAGTGACTGCCATGGACTGGGCTTGGGTTTGGTCGCCCTTCTTGCTGGTTATGCTTGGTTGCGCGTATGAGTCGTAGCCAGGTAAAGAGACTGGCTCATTCGTTTCCTGCAGGGCTATGATGACGGGTTTGAACTCTAATGAATTGAGATGCTGTATGAATATTCCTTTCTTCCGGCGGATACCTCCGCAGTTCCACTGAAGTATATAAACGTGTGATGTGTGTTTTTGACGATGAGTATTAGTTTCCGTTGGTGAGTTATTCATCGTTGATGGTTCCGTCGTCGTTCTCAGGTAATGCGGCCAGAGCTTTGTGGGGCTGTTCGGTGAGAGCGCGTGTCTTTTCCTGGTGATTTGGAGGTTAGCGATAAGCTGCTCGTTTTTGATCGTGGCGGCCTTTATGTCCTCAACTTGTTTGGATATCTGGGTCAGGCTGTTGGCGATCTGTTGTATGAAGTTGTCTCTGGCTTGATTACTAGCGTTGTTTGCTTCTATCGAAGTTTGGACGACGTTAATGAAAGAGTTGACTTTGACCAGAATGTTGTCGACCTTTGTCTCTAGGCTGTTAATTTTGGTTTCAAGTGAGTTAAGGCGTGCCTCATGAGTGATTTTTGTGTGCTGAGGAATTGATAATGCGTTGTTTCTTGATATAATGCCTTCTTTTATGGCTTCTGCAATTTTTTCTGTTTGTGGATTCTCAATTGTGCAATCTGTAGGACCTGAGTGTAGCTGTGCGACAGGTGCTCTAAGTGTGTCACTTTGGTGTTCTTCTGGTCTGGCTTGTTGCCCTGTTCTTGTTCATGTGTTGGGGGGTTAGGAGCCTTGAGGTCTTGAGCTGGGGGGGGGGGGGGGGGGGGGGGCGCGCCTCCTTGGGGTAGGTGTGTCTTGCATGATGCATGCCTGTTTCCCTGACCAACTGAGGGTCGAATGGTATTTGTTTTGGGTTGTTGGCGCCAGCTTGAGATCCTCTGTGTGGGATCTCCTCATTTGGGAGTAGGGAGAAGCGATTTGAATGTCGGCAGCTCTGGCCATTTTTCGTAGTTGTTTGAGAATCCTACCAGCGTGGAGTGGTTTCTTGCGGAGGATCCGTTGGAAATTTTACAGGCACTGCGGCGTTCGATTGAGGCCTGTTGGACGGCTTGGTCAGCTTATTGTCTTCTAGGACATAGGGGAGAGTTGGGAGGGTGTTCGGATTGACAGTTAACACAGTACGGTTCACATTCGTCTGCGTGGGTCCTGGCTTAAGTGGAAGCGTTTGCTGTATCTGGGGCACATGTTGTGTGCTACTTTGAAGGGGCAT